CGTCGACAGGCCATGATGACGGTACAGAGACACGAGCAGAAAGAGCGCGCATCGCGGGTATCGTTCCGCGTCCCACTCGAGACTTGGAGAGTTCGCCACGACAAACGACAGTGCTCTCGGATGCTGCCACGAGGCAGGCATGCGTGCTTGATGACGTGATGGATCAATGCAATTAGTATTGCGATCTTCTACAGACGAACGACGCCGCCGAGTACGAATGACGCCGTACTAGATGCGTGCAAGAGTCACGAGCTTTTCATGGTGCAAAAGCTCATCCCTGATACCAAGGGCTTCGCCATCCGAGCATTTTCCGTGTGACGCTATATTATTGTGTTTAGTCAGCGTCCTTATTGTGCTCGTATAGGATTCGCTCAAGCGCATGAGCGAGCTGCACGAGGTCGGTCGCGTCGCACACTGGCCGCACGTGCGTGTCGGCGACCATGACGGTGCCGACAACGTGCCCGCGAACGCAAACCGGCGCACTGGCCAAGAACCGAAAGCTCGCGGGGCCAGTCACGAGCGGGTTCTGACGAAAGCGGTCGTCGAGCGTCGCGTCGAGGACCACGAGCGGCGCCGTCGATGCAATGGCGTGGGCGCAGAGTGCCACGTCACGCGAAATCTCCGACTGCTTGAGACCGACGCGCGCTTTGAACCACTGCCGCTTGGCATCGAGAAAGGTGACGCCGGCGATCGGGCATGCATACGTCTTTGCGGCGAGGGCACAGAGCACATCGTAGATCTCGGATGGCGGTGTGTCGAGAAGGCGCAGATCCTGGAGCACGCGCACCCGCTTGCCTTCGTGGACCACGACCGGTGGCGGGCACCAATGGTACGGCCACGCCCGCTTCTTAGGCGTAGTGGACTGTCGCCGCGGCGACTCGAAGGCGGACTTGCGCGTTGGGCGCTGGGGTGGTCGTGTGTTCGTACGCGGCTGGTACAGGCGCCGCGTCGACAGGTCGGGCAGCTCAATCGAGGCTGTCTCCGGGGGCTTGACGGGCGCTGTCTCTGGCGGCAATGCACGATTGTCTGCTCGCTCTGTCGCGCTAAAGTAGGTATGGTGGCAATCGGTGCAGACGCGCGCGTGCAGAATGCTGCTGTTGTTGGAATGCTGCTCGATAACGAGGTGCTGGCGACACGAGGCACAGACCACTTGACCACACTAGCACAAAGCGTAAGCATCGTTAGCCTAGATGAATGGAAGCGCAGTACCATGTAGCAGTTGCGCTTCTTCCAAAAGAGCAGCAGAGACGCCTTGCAAGCGTGGCAGCGGGTGCGGGCGAGCGGGTGCACCCAGTGGTGCCGGTCCGCGAGGCGCGCCAATACCGGTGGTGGCAGTGCACAGTGGACGTGTATGGCGCTTGATCGACGTATGGCGAATCAATTGTCGTGTGGTTCTCCGTGTGCTCGCATGGTTGCCGCAGCGACCGCGCGTTGACAGAGCCTGCGTCTGAGACCAGATCTCGCCATTGTTGTTGAAGTGGTATATGCAATTAATATTTGAAAACCTTTTAAAGGTTAATATCGCTTTCTATGTGCAATAAAAGCGGAGGGATAGTAATAAAATGAGTCCTTGGTGGGGTCAAATATGCAAGATCGGGGCTCTGAACCGTTTTAATATACGTACTATCTTAAGTGAATCCAATTTCAATATTACATCTCGTGAAATGAATAAAAATAGCATCGCATGAAAAAAAATTGTCGCTGCAAGCCTTGCTCACGGGTAAACGGCGCCACGCCGTAATGGTCGCTGGCCCCACGGCTCCGATTACTGCCGACGACGACACCGCTCCTGCCATTGACGCGGCCGACGCTGCCCTCGCTCTCATGGGTACCAGCGCTACAATGCATGGTGGTCAGTCGTCGTACAGTACAGGCCTCGGGTGTGCAACAACAGCGCAAGGTGCGATCATTTGGCAACAGGCCGCCACTGCTGCTTGCCACAGCGTCCGCATACCGGTACCACACACCAACGCTGTCATCATGGTTGGAGTCGAAGTCTGCAAGGATGGCATCGAGCGGACAGCCCGAACAATTCGCATCTAGCTAGCTCGCATTGGCTAGCCTAGGTTAGCCTTGGCCAGCAAGAGCATGCGCTAGCTTGGCTCACCCAGGGTCATCTGCGCAGTCCATTTGGCATGGCTTCTCACAGCATGGGTGTCGGTCTTGCAAGCATGCCGGTCGACGCTGCCGGCGGTGGAGCGACTGCCGCCGATTGTGGCCGCCATATCCGGAACTTGCCAAGGTTCCGCCGTTCGTGTATTTTTATGCGCGTCATTTTAATCGTGATACCAATAGCAAGTGAAGTAGTACGAAAAAGGAATTGTAGAGGTAGAAAAGTGAATTTAATTGCATGCACGATCACATATTCTCGGTTGCTCCTTGGGACGCACACGACGCAGCCGGCCCCCCGACGTCCGTGTACAGCCCGACCACCTGCC